TATTATCTTTTTCCACAAAATGAAGACAAAGGAAGTGTAACCCTCCTTTGGCAATTGTTTTATCTACACGATCAATTGTTTTATCTACACGATATCTCTCTGGTCACATAATACCAAAATTGTGTTCATCTATGTATTATCTTTTTCCACAAAATGAAGACAAAGGAAGTGTAGCCCTCCTTCCGCAATTGTTTTATCCACACGATCACTTCTGGTGACGGACTCTTGTACCCAAACCTGGGCGACGCGCTCATGAGTTTGACAAACCAAAAAATAGAAACCCATAGTGACAGACTCGTAGTGACCGTCTACCCACTGCCAGGCTGTCCTTCCACCTCCGAGTGAGCCAATACAGGGGACTGAGGTTATCAACATCTGTATGAGAGCAGAAAGCCTCATCTCTCTGCCATGGAGCAGCGGGTGGGGTTGAACCACCAACCTTGTGGCTAGCAGTCCAGCACTTACCTGATATTATCAAAGTAGAATTGCTCCTTAGGGTTTCGGAGATGGTAAACCTCGTCTTTCTCCCAGGGAGCGGCTGATGTGTTTGAACTGGTGACCTTTTGGATCACAGGCCAATACTTCACTCACCTGGGCTTCACGCTTGGCAAGTAGGGGTTGGAAAACCTTTCTGCATACTGCCTTCGGCATGAGGGAATGGGCCAGCTTTCCCCCAAACCCCGACAAGTGCATCTTCCACCTCTACCAGCAGTGACCTCTAAAACCCAACAATCATAACCATTAGTTTGTCTGTTGTTTGCTTTTAACAAAAGTTGGGAGCATGGGTGCAGGGCCTGTGAGGTGCAGTGTGATTCTGTGTTTAAATTATACTCCTAGGGCTTTGACTCTATATGTTGGCTGGTATTTGAGACAGGTTTAAGGGAATTGGCTTATATTTTGATTTTTCTACATAGCATGTTTCACAGGGGTTGATTTTTAAATGGCCACAGTAAGAAGATTTTCAAAAGTAGGCGAATGTTTATTTCAAAGCTCCTGCCTAAAACTGAATGCCTTTGTGTGTGCTGATCACAGAGGTGATTTGCTGACAAAATGGTTATTCCCAGTAGTCGTCAGGCCAACCCCAGCGGCTGAGGGTGACCCTCGGGTGTCAGAGAATGGTGCTCTGTAGATTGTACAAGAGCTGACTTTTCAGAAGCAGGTCCCTAGGCCCTTCCTCCAAGGGCCCCCGCTGAGTGACTCAGACCTCCAACTTTCTGACTAGCAGCCAAGCATATTAACTATTACACCACTACCATCGTGCCTGCCTCCCCTCCCCCCCAAAATAACGAAACCCCAAACCCCTCACTGCCATGGAGTCAACGTGACTCACAGAGACTGTGCAGCAGGATAGAACTGCCCTTGTGGGTTTCTGAAACGCTAATTGTTCATGGGAGTAGAGAAGCACATGTTTCTTTTGTCCCCAGGAGCAGCTGGTGGATTTGAGCTGCATACCTTGGGGTTAGCAGCCCAGCATGTAACCAACCCATGGCACCACCAGGGCTCCCTCTGCACCACCCGTGAACCTTAAACTCATTACTAATCTAAAAATGGGCAAAAGTGATATCCTTCCGTTCATTCCTTAACTGTGGTATTACTTTCCATAAAAGGACAACTTGTTTAAATCCAATGGGACTTTAGCTAATAATAGTAGTAACTTAGCTTTTTCTGAGCCTCTTTTACTCTCCCCTCGTACCACCCAGCCTAGGAGATGATGATGTCATCAATTCTACCCCAAGGCCCGCTCAGTGCCAGGGTGGCCCCAAAGCCCTAGGTGAGATGAGGTCATAGGTCGGTGACCCTCCAAGACCTCTGGAAATAGACTCTTGGTGTTTACAGGAAGCCAACGGGTTAGGGATTTTGACTTGGGTATTTAGATGAAGGGAAACATCAGGCTAGACTTATTATTTGTGACTTCATATACATGAATGCATAGTGCCCTGTGCTTCATAATTATTTGAAGGAGAAGATAAGCTCATTGGACTTGAAAGGCCTTATTTAATAAACTCACCCTAGTGCTGCAGGTGGTTTGGGTTTTGCAGGATGTGAAGGTAGATGATAGAGGTTAGAAGCAGGTCAAAGGCATTTTGAGTTCATCAATGAAGGTGTGACCCTTCGCCCAGAGAGATCACCCTGACGCCATAAGGATGAAGCATGAAACTTGGAAACACCCGGGTTTGCCTCTGGGCCACCCCGTTGCACCTGGCACATATCTTCTAAGCTCAGTTTAGTCAGGTCACTAGGAAGAGTGTGTCTATCTCATAGGATTCTTGAAAGGAATCTATTCAATTGTGTATGGAAATCACCTAATAAATCAAAGTGCCCATTGCCACTAAGTGGGCTCTGACTCATAGTGACTCTATACAGGGTTCCTGACACTGTACATAGTTGCAGGAACAGACATGGAGTGGCTGATGGATTTGAACCTCCAACCTCGCAGTTAGTAGCCTAATGCCTAACCCACAGTGCCATCAGGGCTCCTTTTAAACCACCTGATACTCACACATAGAAACCCAAACGGAACTCATGCTATCCAGCCAATTCAGACTCATAGCAACCCTCTAGGGTGGAGCAGAACTTCTCCCTAGAGCAAGGGTTCTCAACCTTCCTCGTGCCACGACCCTTTAACACACTGAGTTCCTTAGGTTGTCATGACCCCCAACCATAAAAGTATTTTCATTGCTACTTCATAACTAATTTTGTCACTGTTATGAACCATGCGACCCTTGTGAAAGGGTCGTTCAACCCCCAAAGGGGTCGCAACCCACAGGTAGAGAACCTATGCCTTAGAGTTATATAGAAGTCTACATAGAAGGTAGTTACTAACTAGGTATTTCCCCTCCCCTCTGAATGTAGTCACGTGTGACAACACTCTAAAGATGGCTTTAGTGCTAATAATCGTGTGTCTGCTGACAGATTTGGCCTGGACCTTGCAGGATAAATCTGAAACTTTGAGAATTCTTTTTGAGAATGTTCTCGTACCACAATGTTTTCAATGCTGGGGGAAACTGAACCTTCCATACATACTCAAGTATAAATCCACCCAAACATCAGCTGAGGTACCGGATTTCCCCCAAACTGCACTAAAAATGTGCTGAAAAACTCGGCTTATACACGAGTACGTACGGCATCAGAATTTCTACCTTCCTGGATTTTCTAGGTTTTTCCTGAGTCTTTACAGAAATGATAACCTATAAATGGAATCCAGTCGACATTGGTGGAAAGTGAGCCTTGTGTTTGTCGAGCGGTGCTAAGTGAGTGCTGGTTACTGCCCTCTCAGAAATGTTTCCAATGCAAAAAGGGATCTATGGTAGTGTATTTTATGATGATCAAATCGGACTTTCCATTTCAATGAGAAGAATGGAGAATTTTAAAAGGAGAGCCAGAAGAGAGACAACCTTAGTCAGGTTATCTTTAGGGAAGACAGACACCCCAGTGCCACCTCCAGCCTAATCCAGAAGAGTTTTGCACCGCTGTCCTTCAAAGACAGTGAATTTCAGAAAAAGCGTGTATGGTACATATTCCAGGGAAGGCCTCCTGGAGCTCGCATGGATCTGGAGGTCCGAGCACGGGTGGATCATGAGCTGTACTGTGGGAAGCTTCCGGGCCCTTTGTTCAGTGGAGAGGAAACGGCAGGAGCAGGCGGGGACCGAGGGGCTCTACGGCTTCATGGATGCTGTAAGACAGTACCAGGAGCAGCGTCTGGGCGCTTGTTCAAAGGCAGGTTCGCAGGCCTCACCCGAAACCCCAGTCACGCACCATTCACCATCGTCAAGGCAATTCGGACTCGTAAGTGACCGCGTCAGACAGGGTGGACCTGCCCTTGCGGTTTAAAAGGCTGTCATTTTTGATGGGAGCAGAAAGCCTTCTCTTTCTCCCTGGGAGGAGCGGGTGGTGTCTCACTGCTGACCTTGAGCTTAGAGCCCCCAGACCTCCCTAGTCAGAAACTTTGGAAGGGTCGCCCAGCAGTTTTCTCAAAGGAGTCTTCCAGGGGATGCTGATGTCTGCTGACGTTGAAGGGGGGGAGGGCTTGCT